AGATGAAAATAGGCGAGAAACTAGATATAAAAATACATCTTTACATCAAATTTAAGACCTTTATGCTCAAGGGTTACCACATCAATCTTTAACCCTATTTCCCCTCTAGCCATGATGCAAATAGCCCCTCAAATCCGATTGGCTTCTATAATGTTGACGTATTTCGTCTTATACTTGATTAAATTATAAATTGCTGACACTAAGTTATCCGTGAACAAATATAATGATGTTCAATTGTATTCGAAGTGTATTTGGGAAGACCTTGAATATAGTTTTAGAATTTAAAAATGTTTTCAGTAATATTAATAAATATGTTTCATTTGCACATATTTGCAAAGATTTAATAGTCTCGGATTAAAGGGAAATACTGACTATATAATTTATGATAGTGAAGAGTAAAAGAAAACGAAATAACACAAGATAATATCAATTCCAAAGTGCAATAACAAATGTATATTACAATCAGGTGCGTAGCCAGCGGGAGGGAGTGGTATAGGGGGAGACTCACACCCAATAGCAAGAATTTTTGAAAAAACATAAAAGGGCTTTATGAATTGTGAATTGCAAAGTATTCTATTTCAAATAGGTTATATTCTATTTTAAATTAATTAGCAAAAAGTTAAAATTAATTTAAATATTTATTTCTTATATATATTAATATTTTAACTTTAAAATTTATTTTCTTACATTTTTTAAGCCTTAATTGATAAATATATAAAAATTTTATCAACCAAAAAAATTATATTTAATTTATCTCTACTAATAACTATGATTAAAATTTTCTAGAGTATTAAATGTTCAGGTATCCAAATAGACAAAATTTACTGAATATAATTATTTCTGAGACTTCTTGTGCTACAGGAAAAAAGCATTTTTTGGATCTAGAAGAGCCTATTTTTGCTCTTGGAAAAATATGAGAATAACCTGAAACATAATTCATCTGAAGCTAATACATTATTAGATTTAATATGATTGCCGATTTTTTTCATTGGAATGTATTAATAAATTATTTCTTACACAACAATTTTGTGCAATATTTTTCAAAAAAATGCACTTGGCTGAAGTTGTGAGAATCGCAAATATTATTATATTACAACTTAGAAGACCTAGAAATAATATCGACCAGGAATTTCTCGAGATTTATGTGATTGTTGAGGTTAAAGCGTAATTATGGGATTTTGGGATTCACAAGCCTCGACTTTACCGACAAACAAATCGTTCCAATATTAATGTGACTCAATTGTGGATCCTTATAAAATAACCATTTTTATTCCACTTTTTAATTTTGACTCATATCAATGAACGTGATTTATCAAATGGCTATATTTAATTTACAAATACTATATCTCGTAACTCCCTCTGATCTGAGGATATATCAAATCTTGATATTGAAAAATTAAATATTTAGCTAAATTTTATTCATAGGATATAAATGTATTTGAAAGCCAATTAATTTCAAAATTTAAATGGTATGAAAGATTTAATATTATAGATAATCCTCCAAGAAATTGGAAGCATTGCATACTTTTAAATATATTTCATAAGTTTTCCAAATATATTCAATCTACTGTGTATTTTAGCAATGATACCAAATTAATACAAGCACAAATCAGAGAACCTTTTTTCATTACAGAGAATAAAAACCTATATCAAAAGTTTAAAATTGATTGACTATACTAGCTTTACTCGTCGAGATCTAAACCCCAACTCAAAACTAATGGCCCAAGAAGATTAAAATTTTATTTATAAACGATATTCTAACTTTTTAAATATTTTATAAAATGTTTGATTCTATATTTTATTGTGATTTACATATCGGTTTATATAGCTATAATATTTTTTAACCGTATTATATTCGCTTTTTATATTTTGTATTTTCCAATATTTTATTATTTGGGTTCGAAATTATCGTATTTTAAAATATAAGTTCTAATATATTTTATATGATGATTAGTTCTAATAAATTTTTAAAGCTTCACAAAAATTATTTAAATATAAAAATTAACCACCGTTTTTTTTAAAATGTTAAAGAATTTTTTTTTTAAATAAAATTAAAAAACAGAATTATAACTTATACCATAATTATATAAATGATAAGTTCATAAAAATAATTAAGTTTAATTCTGAATCTATATTGCAATATTTAATATTAAATTATGCATTATCATTTTAAATTTTAAATATTATATCTTATACATAGTTAAATCTAATTATTTTTCATAAGAACCTAAATCTGATCATTATTGTTTAATTTACCAACGACCTTGACTAAGATGACAAACTCTTTGGGATAAGATGTCAAATATCGAATTTAACTCATAAAATCAATGATTATTAAAAAAAAATTAATCTCCACAATAAAGATAAGGAAAATAGATGTGTTATAACTGGCCATGACTATCTTTTTTTTTAAAAAGAGATTAAGAATTGGGTTTGACCAAACAAATTTAATATCAATGTGTAGCCCAAATCATAATTAAAAAATAAAATTTAAATCAAAGTTCTATCTATAATAGGATTTGAGCTAGATGAGGTTATGTGAAAGTTATTTTTTGGCCCGTCAAAACATGATATGTATTACCTAACCATATGCTATGTGTTAACTGGTTATAATATATTATTTAAGAATTTTTTTAAAATATGAAATATTACAAAAAAAAGTATACTTGTAAAAAGATCCATGCTCTAATATTTCTTCATTATTAAGTATTTAAAAAACACTAATTTATCTATTATCAGACATATATTTTATGATGATAATTTATATATCGCTGGAGTATCCAGGATTTTGCTAAGGTGGGGGGGGGGGGGCTATTAGGTAAATTTTTTTCCCATAAATTTTGGAGACCTTTAAGCCCACTTATTGTAGGCCTTTGACTATATTAGATTTTATAAAAATAATTTTTGAGTTTTCACTTTTTTTTTGTTAAAATGCTTTTTTCTAAAAATTTTGAATTATAGTTGTTATTTTCAAAAGTTATTAATTTTTACTAATTTTCCATTCAAATTTTCTTATAATGAAAATTGTATATATTTTTTGGGAGAGAGAGATAGGGGTTATAATGAGGGAAAAATTTTATTAGCTTAAAATGATATTTAAGAGAACAGGCAGATTAGATGGAGGAGGGGGAATTCCCCCCCCCATTGATTACACGCCTGATCTTCATTATTTGTTTCTAAGTGTTAATTAAATATAAAATTAACCACTTATCTATTTAATGATATCATCAATTATTATCTTAATTATCAATATTATGCCTATTTCAATTATTTAACATCTATTTTAAAATTTATGATGTTATTAAAATTAATTAGACAATTATTAATTTATAATGAAAAAATTATAATATATTTATTTGCATAAATAACAAACAAATAAATCATGATTATTAGTGCATTGAGCAAGAGCCTATTCTTCACAATGAATGCATTTAATACACTATTCCTCTCTCTAGCTCTTTATATTCCTTCGTGCATATAATGCAAAGCCACTCATCATTATTCTTCATTAACTTTAGGAAACTTTACTCATATTTTTATTCTTAGTCATGTGCAAATATTCTTATAGAAAAATAACTGATTTTTAACATATAAAAATTTATATAATTAAATCTATGATAACTAATTATTTAACAAGTAATTCTAATATATAATAAATAATATTAAAAAATGCTCTAACACATTTATATAATTAATAAATCTGTATAACTAATTATGTAACAGATAGTTCTAATATGTAACTAATATTATTAAAAAATACTTTAACTTATTTATAAGTTTTAACTATTTTGTGCTAGACAGCATGAATGATTTGCTAGTTTGTATTATATGATCTTTTATAATTTAATTCTGAGATTTGGTGAATAATAATTTTTTTTCTATTTGAATTCCATTCCATAGGGGATATTGCAAAATCTCTTTGTATTTTTGCATTGTGCTTACTAAAGTTGTCTAGGAAAGTTAAATTTAATAATGATTATATCATCAATTGGCAATTAAATTTGTTTATCATTTGAATTTTCGCCAAATATTGTTTTATGCAAGCTTTTCATTTCAATATGAATGTGTGAATGTATGAATTTTGGCCAGTCAATACATGGCCAGACAATACTCACCTGACTATTATCGTTAAATGCCTTTATATGCATATTAAGTAAAACTTGTAAACCCTAATTTTTTGTGTGAATAATGCTAAATGCCTAAGGATAATATTTATATAAAATATCAGTAATTTAAAATAGTAAATCTTTCACCAAACAAAAAAGAATATATATAGCATGATTTTTCTAGAATGAGATACTAAAAACAATTTATTTAAAATATTTTTTTATTAAATTGCTCTATTCAATAATTGAACTTAGGTAAGGTACATATCATAAATATACACATTTTGACCAATTTTGAGAGAAATTGGTCCATTAGATAAAAAGTTAAAGGGTGGCTTGAAACATAGATATTTGCAAATCTCCCCTACACTAAAAATGGATAATTCCTGCTACAAAAAAGGATATGCTGATTCAGGACAATTAGTCCAATATATCATCTTCGCATTTTTAAATGACAATATTATATCCCTAAAAAAATTACCCTCCTCTCCCCCCAAAAAATAGTTTCCTTCCTGTTCCTTAAATATTTATAGCGGAAATAGCAAATCTAAGCCATCAAAGTTAGCCTAGGAAAACCATAACTCCTACCTTCCTTCCACCCTTATTTTCTCCACTCTTTTTCACTCTTATTAAATTTTAATAATGACCCCCCCCCTTGTAAAAGTGTAGATAATCATCTATAAACTCTAAAAAAAATGCCACTCCCAGTGTTCTTTCCAAGCCGCTGACACATTGTATATGAAATTGAAAGCTAATTTTATTTAAAAATGTGATAACTTTTCTTCAGCTAATTATTATAAAAAAATAAGAATTTTTTTAAAATTTATTTGAGTTATTTTTTATATTCATTTTTGTATACAATATATATTTTATTTGATTGATTGAATGTATTACCTGATGCCAAATTTTCAGTTCGATCTAGTGCTATCAAATTCTTATCTTCCAAGGGATAGGTAAAATAATTATTTTTACCTCTTCTTCTTTCCTCTTTCGGATCTGTGAAAGAATGAAACGAATCTTGAAAGGAATTTATCACTTTAAATGAATTCGGAATGTCGAAACTATTAAAACCGGAGGGTTCCTCAATTTTATTGAGCAAGGTTACGAAAACGGAACCTTCAACGGACCCATTACGTTGATGGTAATTGGTCCCACGAGGGATAACGTTATTTATGCTTTCTATATTGCTACTCATACTCATAATGCGTTGTTCCATATCATTGTGGATACAATCGTTCCCATCTCGGGGATCTCTGATCCCATCTTCTCCTACCACCCATTTATTGTCGGACATGTCACAACTGATATAGGCTAATTTAGGTGGTGGCCCTAGCGTATAAGACGAGGGACTAAATACACTAGCTTGACATGGTGGGTTGTTAGTATTTGAATTTACGGAGTTTAGGTGATAACAGTTATTCGTTTCGCTTGTACGAAAATTTTTGAGATACTTCTTATTACAACAGGGTTCGGTAACTGACTGTTTTATAAAAATTATATCTTTTTGTTGCTTCGTTAAGAACCTAAGATGGGTATCATTTTGATAGTTGCAGCAATTATTTTGCAATGATTCCAAGTAAGTAGGAGATATAATGAAGCGATTCGTAGTGTGTGAAGGGGTAAGAGGCGGAAACGATAATGAGACGGGAGAGAAGAGGGGCATCCTATCCCCCATGTCGGTGTTGGAAAAAATGGATACCCTATATTTATCACCCGTAGAGTTATACTCGGTTATGCCTTCCTCCGATTTGCTAACACTTCGTAAAATATCTTTTAAACCCCGAGAAAGTTCTACGCATTTGCCTACGTGACCACTGGACCCACCACCATCCTCCGACGAATGAATAACGAGGGATGTCGTGGTAGCATAAATAGCTTCTCGACATGGGTGTTGCTCAGGAGGAAGGGAGGTAGATATGATTGTAAATGATGGCGTGAATAATCTGGTATACGCGTGGCTATTTATTTCTTTGACTAAGCCTAATTTGTCGTAAAAAGTTTCATAGTAGGGATTATCTCTATTTTGAAAATTTACGGAAGCAAAGTGGTCTCCCCCCGGATGATAAATCTGGTGACCTGGGTAACGGGAGAGGGAATGCGCAATGGGAGGTAAACGGATGATCGTATTTCCTGGTTTATCGTTTTGACCTATTTTATGATTGTAGGCAGAGGAGAGTGAATCTTTTTGAGAGGTCAACATTCAACTCTTTTATTTGAATTAATTATTTTATCATTTTTCTTTTTTTTTAAATTCTCGATGCTCATTACAATATTTGTCATTGAATTTTGTTTTTGTTTTTTTTAAATTTTTATATTTCATTTTGAATAATAATTTTCCAAATTTAAAATAATATTTAAATTAAGAAATGGATAAATTAAATATATTATATGAATTTATTAATATTTTTAAAAATAATTTAATTCCTCTGTATATGCAAAATATTCGTGGAATTATCGTTTTCAATATTTATTTATTTTTAAGTAGCAGATCAATAAAAAAATTAGGAGAATCAATTTGTTGGGTAGTAGGGTATATCAAACATCTTGTTTTTTTTAAAAAAATAATATTTAAAAAGAATTATTTTGGTAATATTACGATAATATTAATCGATTTAGATCATTTTATCATAAATAATAAGAATTATAACTTATTTTACTTATATTAAGTTTTTCTTACTTTTTAAATATTCGATTTATGAAAGGAATCATAATATGATCGTCAATTTTAACATCGGACAAAGATAGCAATATTCAAGTTTTTTTATATTTAAAAATAATATTATATTTTAAATTATTCGTGATTTATAAATTATATCTAAAAGATCAGGTAAAATAAATCGTATATATTTAATAACCTTTTTCCTTATCTGCCAAATTTTAAGATTGTAAACCGAAATTTTATAGAATACTAAAAATGAGATATAAATGAAATTGGGAAAAACAATTGCTCTTGGCAGTTACCATTAAATATTTCAATTTAAGTTTACATCTTATAATATATTTTATCTTCCAATAAGGTCATTTTATTATTTTATTTTGGCATTACTAGGTTATATTTTATTGCCAAGATATTTAACCCATTAAAGTCTAAAAATATGACGATAACTCATTTGATGTAAAAATTTCGTTAATGCTTTTAATTTTACAAAATAATAATTATATTATTAATATTATGAGATTAAGAAATATTATAAAAATAACAAAGAATTCATAAATTATTAATGTTTAGTAAAGAAAAAATAATAACTAATTCAATTTGAACCAATCAAATATTACTTTAAAAATGCCAATTATAAAAATGATTGACCTAGGAATGATAAATAAAAACATATTTTCATTTATAAAAAATAAAATAATAAATCGATAAAAAAAACATTTTTCAAAAGATAGAAGAAAAAGGATGAACCTTTATAGTTCATTAAAAAAAAAAATTACAGGTAAAAATAAAATAGAAATCGAAATCTTCGAAATAAAAAATAAAAATTAATCAACTAAATTGTATATATTATTTTATTTTTTAATTTATATTTTCAAAAATAAAATAAATTCATGTTAAAAAAAATATCCATTAAAATTTAAAAGAAATAAAAAGGTGTTAAAAAGGTTTGATGTTACCATTTGGTATTAATAAAAAAATTCATAGAAAAATAAATGCGAAATATTATCCTTTTTTAAAATATTAATTTAATTTCACAATTCGTAGCAAATTTTTCTGAAAATTTCAATAATTTTTAAATGAGAAAAGAAAGAGAAAAAGTAGAAAATTTATAGCTGAAATGTGCGAAAATTTATATTTATAATTAAATGCTTGGAATTTTTATATTTAAAAATATATTTGTTTTTTCAATTTTAAGAATTCGAAAGGGAAATAAATATAATATAGTATTATTGAATTAGTTGTTATGGATTCCTATTCAAAAAAATTAATCTCCTTTGTAATTAATTATCAACACATGTACACTCAGTAAACTTTAAAATTAATATCATATTGGAATATCACGAAGATTTGGAAGCTATCAATTTTAAGTAATTTACTATAAGAGTGATTAAATTTGAAAAATTTGATTTTAATAATGAATTCCAGTACATGAGTGCAGAGTATATGTGCTGACTGGCCAGTAAATAGAATTATACATAAACTCATCTAAACTCAAGAACGTTATTTTTTAAATTAAGGATTTGGCTACTCATTGATATTAAATTAATTCGATTTAACTCAATTTAACTTATTTTTAAAAGTAAAACCATGGCCAGTCATGCCACTCCTCTGTATTTTATGGAGATTACTTTTTTTTATAAAATATAATTTGAAGAAAAATTAGAGGACTTAAGTTCCCCAACGTACATTAGTCCAAGTGATAGGAATAAATTACCCGGAAAAAAGCTTTAGAAAAGAATTTATCTTTCACAATCCTCATCTTAAATACCATTCACTTTCTATTAATCCATTTATTACTTTTCTAACTTTTAAAAATTTTGAAATTATAAATAGGGTTAAAACTTTCCTGTTATATATTTTAATTCTTTTAAAGCATGTTTATATATAGTAAATATATATATATAGGCCTATCTTCTAATAAATTATTAATTTCATTCAAATTAGAAGATTGATATATAACTGTTTATTTTTTCTTTATTCCCACATTTCTATGAAATGTTACTCTATTTTATAAAACTCATTTCTAACATCTTTAAAATTTGGTAAGAATGCAATTTAATAATAATTGTCATTGGTTTATATTTTCACAACCCGTAATTTGGGTGATACAATTTAAAATAATTTAGAAAAATGTTAAAATATATAACTTTAAATTCAATTTTCAAAACTTTCAAATAACAAAAAATCTCCTTAAAAATAATATATAAAATTACGTTTAATTATTTTCCAGAGAACAACTTGCTCCTTCTCCGGACGATTCTATGTTTAAAAAATATAAAACATTTTTATTGATCCTCAAATCAATTCCAAGCACGCTCATCATGCCTAGAATATTATCGATTTGGGTATGCTACCCTCATAAATTATGAGATCTAAACCTTGTCACTAACCTGTTCTTGATGAGCTGATGAGCGATGATTATGAATGGTTAATAAAAAATATACCATCCATTTTTAGTGTGGCCATCTTATAAACAACTAAACCCCCCCCCCTCCTTCATTTTTGCTCATTATATTCTTGAGTTATTTTAAAAAAATGATTAAATGGGATAATATAATAATAAGGCATATCATCAGATCCCTTATATATTATGCTTACTAAACATCGCTCAAATTTTATTGAAATAAAAGTATGTATATAGTATATACACCCGTTTTTTTAAACATATTTAACAACCACAAGTGTTTAGCTTTAGTCTTAAGATGCTAGTATGACTTTACAGGATATTATTTTAAAGTTATGGATCGGCCATCTTGCTCGCGTGCCTAGTTCGGGTCTATACTCTATGAGCCATATTTGCCATTCAAAAAATAACTATTTTTTTTATAAATAATTATAATAAATTAGTATAATGATAATTCATGGACGTTTTCTCTTATTTTGTAAAAAATTTATATAAAGCATTGCAAGTCCGACGCGCATCATCAATACACTATCTTGCAATGATTGAAGCTAATAAGCTTCGTAAAATCTTATAATATATGTAATAATTTTTATTCATTTGTGTTTTTTTGTTAATTTTATCCAAAATCAGAAAAACTTTTAAAAAAAATATAAATAAAAACATTTCAGTTATAAGTTTTAGAATAATTATGATAAAATTTATTTAAATTTATTTAAAATGAGCCTAGAAATCGGTATTTTTTATTTTTATTTTCTTGAAATGTTATGTAATAAATAACTGAAATTATTTATTTATTTTAAAATATCTTTATTTAAGAAGGGAAATAATAACATTTGCATAATTAAGACATTTATCATTTTTTATTTTTACCCTTTCTATACTTATAATAATTTTAGGAATTGTATATATTTTAAAAAATAAAATATAAAATAAATAAAAATAAGAAAAATTATCATTTTATACCTAATTTTAATTTATAATTTATATTCTCAAATTAGATTAGATTTTATGTTTTGTTTTTATATAAAAATAATTCAAGTGATTTTTTTTTTGAAAGTTACAAATTTGTCATTTTTCTTAAAAAATACTAGATGACTATATATATTATATTTTTATATACCAGGCGCGTATATTCAGGATTTTTCCTTGGTAGTGGTTATTAAAAGAGCTCATGAGACAGTCTTCTGGTTCGTCAGCCCAGACCAAATAAATTTTGAACTAAGACACCCAATTTGGAAAGAAAGAACGAACCCGTACAACATTAAATAAATATTATTTGTTTATTTATACAATTTTTTTAGCACTTCTCTTTCGGATGTTTAGCGGAAGCTATATGGACGGCTAAACAAACGACTATTTAGAAATAAGACGAACCAGGACATGGCTATAAAATTTATTTGTACTCCATTTTTTTTATTCATCATAAATAATCTGATATTCATTGTTTAAAGTTGGTTTGGCATGTCTAGGATTTTACTTAAGGGAAAGGGGGGGGGGGGGGGGGGTTATAATTTTGAGACAGATTATAAATATGTCTTTTTAAATTTAAATGACTGTAGATAATCAAACTATATATAAGAAAAAAATATATATAATTACAAAATAAAATCATTTTCTCGATGTTTTTAATTTTGATTTAAATAACATATTTAAACCCATTATTTAAAAATTATTGGAGCCCCCCTTTAAATAAGTGAATGAACGCACATGTCATTACCCATTAAATTTTATGAAGATACTACTAAGATTGTCGATTACCGTAAGAAAATCTTATCGAAATGCGCTACTGGGAAATAATCAGCGAATGTATTATCGAGAAATTATTAGCCCAAATTTATCACAGAAAATATATTGCCGCTAAATTATGATGCATTCCAAGCTAAGGCCTGATATGATGTAGGGTTAGAATAATATTAATTCAAATAAATATAAGAACTTTTATCGTTAATTTCACTGAAATTATGATGTGCTAAGGCCTGGGCCTAAAATGCATACAAAAAATAACTAATAAATATAAATGTTTAATTCAATTTAACTGAAACTAGATAGGCTAATGCTCTTTTTGTGTTAATATATTCTTAGAAGTGTATTTGCAGTAATGTATTCTGGTTTTGTAATAATGTTTTTGTTGCAATAT